TTCATAATTCAGCTTTAACATGCGGGTTATTAATGTTGTTTCCTGTCTGAGAAACTATTTTAATGTCAGATTTCTCCTTACGTCTTAAGACTGAATTTATGAAACTTCATGACTTTTTCGTATCACCGTCAGCCTTTAAGATATTTTTGTGATAGTACTCTTTCCTCGACTGTCCAGATGCTACTCGTATTACTTTACTGACTCGCTTCAAAAGCTCATTGTGTACGTTATTCTTAGATTTTCTTCTTTTAGCAAGTAATTTTTCTTTAAAAATTATCAATTTTTGGGGAACAAATTAATCGAAGGTGTTATTTCAAATCTCAACAACTTATTAGAACCATACCGTAGAACCATAAGTTATTGCATTTGATATTTTTTTTAAGAATACTGAAGCGTAATCGTCGCAATTTTCTAAGTTATCGTGCCCCTTAAAAACAATTAAAATGATAACTAAATTGGCAACCCTGTCGTGATTGTTGATAATTTTTTGTCGTGCTCCTTTTTTGATTAACAATATTTATTTTGTGTTTTTTTAACCCGTTTGTGAATCTTAAAAAGTGTTAACAGTGTTTAAAATCTATTTTTGATTTGTCTGTGCTAATTGGTGTAGTGAGTTTTGTGATAACTAATAAAAATCAATTTATTTTCTTATTGGTATTCCGTGTTCCATTCCCTGTTTGTTTCCATTGTTACATTTCTTCATTTGTTTGTTGTAACATTATTCTTGTTTATTTTCTTATTATCTTTTCAAAACAGAGTTGCCAATAAGATTTATTTTTGTAGAAATCAAAGGATTTCGAATTCCAGCTACTTTTTTGAATTTTATCTTTTTTTTTCAAATATTTGAATTAAACATTTTTTACAATGGTCTGTCCGTATGAATTGTGTAACATCTCTAACGATGATGAATTGTGCGTTACATGTTGGTTTTGTTTAAATTAGTGGCATGTTAAGTGTGCTCGTATCAACGCGAAAGTAGTTGATACTATTAGAGACAATGTTGGCGTTCGTTGGTGCTGTGTTCACTGTAGAAAACTTTCTGCCGACTTTTATAATTTTGTAAAAGACTTGCAATCGGAGCTTGTATCCATTAAGAAAGACTTTACATCATTAACAAGTCGTTTTGAAAATTCTTCGAATTTGTTTAATAAGTACCAAGAACTCGGTGAATTTGTATCGTCGCCGTCCGTTTGTGGGCAGAAACGAAAGCGGTCTTCGAAGAAGGCACCAACTAAAATGATGCCTATTCGTAAAGCATCTATTTCTGCTGGGAATACTGTATCACGAACAGCGTCAGATAATATTGATAAAATTGATGCTGTTAATGAACAGACTTATGCCAGTGTCGTGTCTCATGCAACCACGGAAGCTAGCAACGATGTATTGGAAGTGACAATACCTGATAACAGTAGTCTTGAGAAGACCGCCAAATCTACTCATAGTACACAGGTGTTGTCAGTTCCTTCATCTCGTGCGTCTTCCGAGATTGTAGCTGGCAATTCCCCACTACCTACCCAAAGACCATTATCAATGGCCCCTGTCATGAAAATGGTTTTTGTGTCTAGGTTTGCGCCTGATACCTCGGCTGAGGATATAAATAACTATATCAAATCAAAAATAAATGGTAATTATTTTCTAAGATGCTACAAGCTTCGATCGGCATACTCTGAAAGTAGATCATCATTTAAAATATTAGTTCATGATGATATATTTCCAAGTTTGATATCGAAAGATTTTTGGCCTGCTAGAGCGTTTGTTAAAGAATTTCTAGAAAGATCAGATAATTTAGCTCATTTACCTCAGAGATCTGAACCAGTATCAAAAAACTAGATAACCTATTTACCATTTGCTATCAGAATGTAAGGGGGTTAAACACTAAATTAACTCGTTTATTTACTGATAGCATTGGTTTTGAATTTAGCATTATTGTGTTTACTGAGACTTGGCTCAAAACGTCTGTGTTAAATAGTGAAATTATGTGTTCAAAATATCAAATATTTAGAAAAGATCGTACTGGTAAAAAAGGTGGCGGCGTCCTTATTGCAGTTGATGCCAAATTTTCCACTAATTTAATTAAATTAAATTGTTTTTCTGACATAGAATTTATCTGCATATCAATTGAATTGTGTAAATTTAAACTATTCGTTACGTGCTCATATATACCTCCTTCATCACTTCTTGATATTTATAATCAGCATTTAGCAGCACTAAACTCAATTATTAATATTATGAATGATACCGATAGAATTTTAGTTCTTGGTGATTTTAATATGCCATCTATAAAGTGGCTCTCATTGCCAGACTCAGAAAGTTTAACGCCGTTGACATCTGAAGCAAATGTAAACCAATATACATTTGATATTGTTAATCGATTTTGTGAAATTAATCTCCTTCAAATAAATAATATTTTAAATTGTAATGATAGAATCCTTGATCTAGTATTTGTAAATTTTACACAATTTTTTGAATTAATTCGAATTCCTGTTATATGTACTCCAGAAGATAATCATCATCCAACATTATATATAACCATGAGCCATAATTCTACAATTAACGAAATTTCATGTGATTCATTTAAAAATATTCTTAACTATAAAAAAGCAAATTTTCGAAAGCTTAATTCTCTTATTTCATCTGTAAACTGGACAACTGCATGTCAATGTAAGAATCACACCGATTTTGAATTTATAATAGATATATTGTATAATACTCTAAATAAATTTATTTCTGAATGTGTTCCAACTGTTAGAATTAAAAATTCTGACAGATATCCATGGATTTCGCGTGAGTTATCAAGTATAAAAAATTTAAAAAATAAACTTTTTCGAAAATATAAGAAGTCAGGCTCATCTACAGACTACGCTAATTATTCTGTTGCTAGATCCAAATATACCATAGAGTCCCGTAGATTGTATAATATTTACCTCAACAAGATCAAAAATAATTTTAAAACTAATCCGAAGTCATTTTATGAGTTTGTTAACTTAAAAAGAAAAGTCTCCTCAAAACCCACAATTTTGAAATGCAACAATAAGGAGTTTGTAAAAAATTCTGAAATAGCAGAATGTTTTGCAAATTTTTTCGCCTCTACTTATTCATCTGCAGTTTGTCCAAATATAAACTCATATCCTTATGAGCTATCCAAAATAGATCAAATATATATGCCTTTTTCAAGATGTTGCTAAAAATTTACGTACTCTAAAACCAATTAAACTCCCAGGTCCAGATGGTATACCTAGCATAATTCTCAAATATTGTTCTGACACTTTAGCAACGCCTTTTACGTTGCTATTTAATCATTCCTTAAATTTTGGTTATTTTCCCACTATATGGAAGAAATATTTTATAGTACCGTTGCACAAGTCTAGTAGTCTATCAAACGTCTCAAACTACAGAGGAATTGCAAAATTAAGTGATATCCCAAAATTGTTTGAAAAATTAATTACTGCTGTTATTTCTCACAAAATTAAATCCATTTTAAGTCCATATCAACATGGCTTTCGTAGTGGTCTTTCAACTATAACAAATCTTATAGATGTCTCTCAAAATCGATTAACGTACCTTCATGTGTTCCACAAGGAAGTCACCTCGGGCCGGTTCTTTTTCTATTGTTTATAAATGATTTGCCAACTTCTGTAGTACATTCTAAATTGTTAATGTATGCAGATGATGTCAAGTTATTCATTACCCATAATTCTGAGAAACAATCCATTTTACTCCAAAATGATTTAAATAACCTTTTTCAGTGGTGCAGATTAAATTGTATGGATTTAAATTTGAACAAATGTAAACATATGTGTTTTTCTAGAAATTCTTCATTGACGAGGCAATACAATATTAAAGGTTCGGTTTTATCAACAGTTGAAACATTCGTGGATCTTGGTATTTTAATGGATCCAAAGTTAAACTTTAAGAATCATGTTATTTCTATGGTAAATAAAGCATATGGTGTATTAAGTTTTATAAAACGGTGGGCCAAAGAATTCTCGGATCCTTATATAACAAAACAACTATACACGTCTCTTGTTAGACCTATATTAGAATATGGTTCTGTTGTATGGGATCCTCAATATGCAATATATTCCGATAAAATCGAATCAGTGCAGAAACAATTCTTACTTTTTGCACTGAGGGGTTTACATTGGAATAGTGATTTTGTGTTGCCTTCTTACACTAGCAGGTTAAAATTAATTCGGTTACCTACATTAAAAAGTAGACGTATTATGTTGAACACTATGATGGTACTAAAAATATTAAATGGTAATATACCCTCTGATTTCCTAATTTCATCTATTAGAATAAATGTTCCGCCAATTAGCGAAAAATTTTGAATAAAATGTAAATTAAATCAATATGTGCTTCAAATGCTTAGCATTGCTTGCTCTATCATAACAACTGATCAAAAGCCATGTATTGGATTTTTCGACGAATAGTTTTCACAGTGGTGGCACAAAAAAAAACTAACTTTAAGGTAATTTGAATGCATTTTTTGTCGGAATGGAAAATATTAGAATATTTAGAAAAATAAATATTCCTATACATTTTAACGACGGAACGAACGAACAAAAATATTTTTAAGAAAGAAGATAGGTTTATGTTTTATTACTTTGTTCTTAAGTGTTTAATTTCTATGAACTATATACACTGGTGGCCAAAACTAAACCAACTGAAATTGCAAACTGTATAAATGACCTGTAACTTTTTTGAAAATAAAGTTGTAGTGGAAGTTTTTTTCAGGAATAATGAGATAATTTACTTATTTAAAAAAGAAAACAAGTAAATTGTTTTATTTTTTCTTGATGTCATCTATTTTTATTTTATTTGTGTCATCTATTTAAATTACCAAAACATGGTCGCTATAATATAACAGAAATAAACTAAGCGTTAAAGTTGTTCAAAATAGTATTTGAATAATTTTAATCGAGTTATAGTATATTTATGTAGACGATAAACCTTTGTTTGAAGTTTTCTACAATAACAAATTTTATTTTTAATTTCAGTTTTATTTCCATCAAAAAATTCGAAATCCACAATTAAAGATGAATCTAGCGAATTAAATTTTACGTATATATATATTGCGCACCCTCGCGCAGTTACTAATATAATATGGCGAAAAACAAGCAAGTACATGCCCAAGGGCTCTGTTTCTAACATGATTGTGACATCTTGTTTGGACAACATATGTCGCATTTGGATTGAAACTGTGTTACCGGACGATGGATTGATAAATATGACACAATTTGATCCGATGGCTTCACAAAATCCTAAATTTAGGACTCATCGACATAAGCATCGGTTTATGCAAAGACTTAAGCATATGAAAACCTGTTTCCACATACGTCGACATGCAAAAAGTGGATCCAACACGGGCACGGTTGTGGGAGATTTGATGCCAAGCAACTTTCCAGGGCCGATTCCATCGCTACCATCATCGTGTAGTGTGCACGATTTTCATTCTTACGGATTTCATGGTAGTGGAATATCTCAAGGCATGCATTTTCATTTGGCTGCTTCTATAAATGCTGAAACAGATATACCGTTGGTCCCTTCAATGCAGTCGCCATCAGACGCTTCAAATCAAAATAATTTCGTACTTCATTGGCTTAATAACAAAGAAATGGATTTTACAATCCAAGCTGAAGCCATCCTTCAAGAGTTAACAAAAAAAGTTATACATGAAGAGAACCAGAATACACATGGTGGAAATCTGTCGGATCACACTGACAATTTATCGAATGGAGCACAATCTAAAAGAAAATATATAAGAACAGCTTCAAAATCTGTTTCTGTAGATGATAACAGTGCTACAGGCGATGACAGCAAGGCTTCTAATCACCATATGTATCCGAGCGGAATACAGAATGTAAATTCAATGTCAAATACAGCGTCACTGAATTCATTGAATAATGATAGTTCCCTTTCCCACCAATTAACTGACTCATTGGATATAAAAATTGATTGCTTGTTGCGTGATTGGCATCAAAGTCCAGATTTACTATTTGCAATTCATCCAGTGGATGGCAGTTTCCTTATTTGGGTTGTTGAGTGGCTAGATGACTTCTATCCAGGCTCATTTCGTCAAGCACAGGTTTCTTTTTCTACTAGAATACCAAATGCGTTTCCCTTAGGTGACGCAATGTCAATGTCTACGATGGTTAGTTTGTATAATACAGGCACCCATCCATTAGTCTTTCGTGAGATAGCTAATAATGTGAAATGTAAAGACGAAGATATACTCAGCGAAGAAGATGATGATGACATATCGGTTAAAGACGATTCTGAGAATGATTTTCAAGGAAATACCGAACCTAATAAAAATACCAAAATTAATCCTGTTAATGATGGCGATGAAATTGAAGACAAATTAAAGGCTTCTACTATTGGAAACATCACCTCAGCAATATCCCCATCCGTATCGATGGTTACGAAACATTCAAACGGCACACTTAATTTATGGCAATTATCTTTTGCATACAAGACCAAATTCACTCAAGTTCTAAGTATTGGGCATGTGAGTCGAGTTTCTGGACACAGGTTTAGAGTAAATGATATTAACTGTCATCCAGTCTTGCCCCTTCTTGTATCGACGTCCCATCACAATTTGTCGGAATTTGACACTAAAACCCCAACAAGTACGCCAAACTTCGAATCGAATGTGTTGGAAAATGTGTGCACTCCTTCTGGATTTTGTTCGGAATTGATTCTGTGGAGAGTGGATTCTGTAGGTCCTCTTTGCCACTCCGGAGGTGTTAGTGAACTTGCTCGTATAAATTCCCCGGAAATATCGGCATTTAGCAACGTTGCATGGATACCTACATTGCTACCTAGTACTACATTGGGAAGCTACAGTAATTCGCCATCTGCATGTTTCGTGGCTAGTGATGGTGAACATTTACGTGTCTATCAGGCTGTTATAGATGCCCGTACTCTTTTAGCGGAAATATCCTCATCCGAAAGTATTACTAAATTACAGAAATCGGCATCCATATCTTCTTTGTATTCTAATGCGTCCTCTACTTTAAAGGGGCTAAAGTTTTCACTACATGATAAACTAAAAGTTGTGTCTCAGCAATCCACTGCCCGGCCGGGTTGTATTATACAGCTAGATCCAATTTCGGATGCCAAACACGACTGGCAGAATACTCAATTTCTGCATGTTTTCCAAGCACAATTAATAACTGGTAGCGATTCATCAACTTCTGAATGTGAAAAATCGGATGGGAAGTGTGGCAATCAAAGTGACTTGGATGCTATTGTAGATTTACAACAAAATGCGGAATTTGAGGAACCGTTTTATATTGTTATTATTGAAAAAACCATCAAAGGCAGTACCATTCATATGTGGCGTATAATTATATCATCGAAAGAACAGAAAATATTACTTCCTGAAACAGCTATGTATGTTCCAGATAGCAACCTTACCCAGGAAGCTGATGACTTCGATGTATATCGAAAAATGTCTGAGGTTAATTTTGATCCCTCAAATCAAAAGAATAAAATGGAGGATATAATAGAACCTCCACATATTGTAATAACAACAAAAAAGGTATGCACCCAAGAGTTGCCACTTCCTGAGGGTGTCGATGTAATACATGCGTCACCTGCAGCGGGCCATCTTAGTTCTTCTTCAATATATCCAGCTTGTTATGCACCATATATTATTGTTACAGCTTGTTCGGATTCAATATCCCGATTCTGGAAATGTGAAGCTAATAAAAATCCAACCGATTCAAATAATGAATATATATGGTCTGAATGGAAGATGTTCAGCAAGAAACAAGACTCTGCAATAGAAATTCCGGGACAGCCGTTAAATATAAGTGCCGCATATTCAGGTAGAATTGCTTGTGCTTACAAATACGGCAAAAGTTTTACAAGACCCAATAAGGGCGGAGATCCCGATTCTAGATATATTAATCTTTGTGTTGGAATATACGAATGTGAAAGTTCTGGTGGGAGTGAGTGGGTTCTTGAAGATACCATTCATCTTAAAAATATACACTTGCCACGTATCAACATTGATAACGGAATTGATTTGAGCTATTTACATGATTCTCGTATATTACAGAAAAAACAACGTCTTAACCAAGTCTTGCATAATTTTACTACTCATGATGAAATAAGATCTCCACGTAGTGGGGATTCGACTCCAGAGACAAACGTAAAAAGTCACAGTAGTTTACTTGCGGTACCGAGTTTTAGCACTTTGCAATCTCTTAGAAAAAGTATCGCAGAGAACGGAAACACATGCCCTCTTACCCAAAAACATCTGGTTCAGCTTGATTGGGTTTCAAAAGAAGATGGTTCGCATATTTTAACAGTAGCTGTTGGCAGCAAAATTTTACTATACACACCAGTGTCATCAGATATAGCTCAAGCAAACATAAAGGCCATGAAAGAATCGAGATCAGTTAATCGTCCAATTTTACGAAAGGCAAGTTCCTTGGCTCAACCTCATTTTAATGATGAAATACGATGGATGAAGTTACGACAAATAGATTTACAAACAGCAGACGGTTTACCCCCTCTACCCATGCAAATATCATGGGTTAGAGACGGAATACTAGTCGTCGCAATGGATTCCGAAATGCATGTATACTCCCAATGGAAACCTAGATATAACCAACAACATAATGTTGACGACATTATGGACAACAGAAATTTAAGAGATGAGGACCTACGTTCCATCGCGAACGAATCATCAAAATTGCGCATAAAGAGCGCAGCTTCAATGCCTCTCATGAGCAAAGTTAGTACCGCAAACTTGCAGCTACTTTCCAAGGATAACAAGAAAAAAATAGGCGCCACAAGTTCGTCTAACGTACAAAATTCATCAGACGCTGCTACTATTAACGAAGATTATATGACCGATTTAGGTCTATTTCAAGCGTCTCGCATTGCATGTCCTGTACTACCGCAGTATCATCCTAAGCAGTTGATGGAATTGTTGAATTGTGGAAAAATTCGTTGGGTTAAAGCTATTCTGGCACACTTGGTACGATGTCTTAGTGCTCCCACTATTAAAGGAAATAACGAAAGTGATGATGCGTCCATAACACAGGTAAGAAAAAACGCAATATAATAAAATTCAAATCCATCGAAATTAAATCAATTTTTTTGCAGAAGTCTTGGTCTAGATCGAGAACGCTTTCAATAAGTTATGCTCCGGATACAACAATACAAGCAGATCACAGAGGATCAACCACACAGGTAATGATTTGTTGCAGATAATGATATGTATATTGCATATATATACTCATTTACATTATCGGTATCAAAAAATACATATTTTTTTAAATTTTATTCAAACTTTTAATTGGTGTAAGTGACAGGTTGCACCGAGAGCGTCCGCCATATTGCTAAATTTTAATAATCCTACTTTATTCCAGAGCCAGTTGGTTTCCGATGTTCCTTTGATAGAAGTGGGGACGATGTATGTGAACTGTTTACAAATTATGAACCTATATTAGATGATTTCTGGAAAGAAGTGTTTTGTTCACCGGAAATCAGAAATGCCAAAATAGAGCCAACGAAAATGGGTTCTTCCCTCTTTATATGGAGGTCAGGGAGCGCAAAAATTCGCTCGCGAATGATTCAAAATACATTCTTTTCGTTTTGTGCTCATTTTACGAATGAATTTATGGCGATAAATTCTTTACCAAACGAGCAATCGCCAAAGAATGTTCGCACACACAAAACAAATGAGTGAGAGCACACAACAACGTTCGTTTCGTTTGGTGGTTGAAATTCTTTCTGACATTCTCTCACGAATGAAAACAAACATTCCCGAATTCTCGCGAATGCTCAAAACGGCAAAAACAATAACAACAAACGTTCGTGAACTTGATAGTTGTTTGACATGTGTTTTGTTATTCCACACATTTTCTGCTACACACACATTCATTCGTTGTGTGTGTTTACTTTTTTATGATATTTTTGTTTGTGTTGTTTTATAAAAGTGCTCGCGAGCATTCGCGGACATTTGTTTTTTGAGTTTTTAAAAGAATGTTATTCAGCAACAAATGCTCGCGAAAGAGTGAATCAACGACGCTTGCAGCGAAATTTTATCGTTCGTGAATTTTTCGTGCAATGCGAAGAGAGAGATTTCGCGAGAGATTCCAAATGATTGTTCATTCATTGTAACTTTATCATTCGCGATAAATTAGAAACATTCGAATTCTCGCCCGTGAGTATTCGTGAGAAAGAGCGTATTTTAATCATTCTTCGCACCCTGATGGAGGTTAAACATTTTCGACAAACATATTTTTCAAATTACAGTCACTTCAGTGGGAAAATGTTCAACTTTAAGTAATTTTATCATAAATAAGAAATATCAATCATTGCTATTGGCTTTATGATTTTTCAAAATTTTAAAAATTTGGCAAAAAATTTTGAGAACGTAGTTTATGCATAATAGGGGTATGTAATTATATAAAGAACAATAAAAATATAAACGCCAACTGAAATGTGGACTCATAATTATATAGCATAAAGGTTTCCATTTCATATAAATGCGACATACCTCTTATTAACGCTTAACATTGCTTGTCAAGTCCAAAGTCTTATTGTAATCAGTAGTGCGACTCTGTAATATTTTTTGCCATTAATAACAAATCCAATAAAATTAAAACACACAGAACGTATTTAAACGATTTAAATACGTCCTTTCTCATGAATACACATGGCGAGAAGAGCGTTCATTTGAAAAACTCGAAAAACAAACGTTCGAGAATGATCGCGAGCGCAACGACCATCGCTGTTGTGTGCTCGCTTTCGTTTGTAATGTGTGTGCGAAAAAAAAAATATTTTCGTTAATTAATAAATTTATAAGAAAATGAAAATATAATTCAAATGCACCTAAATATAATTCATATGTACAATACCATATTTCTGAAGATTTTGGTAACGAGAGTGCCAAAAGAATGAAAATAATCCCTGAATATTTTTTCCCAATGAAAAAACTGAATTTTACATGTTTACTATTTGACCCAGCAAACGTAGTTTAGCCTTATAAAAATTGCATCAAAATAAATTTTGTAGCACTTGAAAATATATACTAGAAAGTGGGATAGGTGATCGCGCTATATTCTTTCCAAACCTGATTTCATACGACAATGTGTGTCTCCCCTTTGAATCTAAGAGATATTCCTTCAGTTTTTATAATAAGCCAGCTGAAAAAAGTCTGGGAACTCTAGTTGTGTAAAGTCGAGTTTTTGTGTTTTGTCAAAACTGTGTTTAAATTTCATTAAATTTAAATAATTAATACTTTGTAATTTAAATTAATTTACAACTTCCTCGTAAAATTGTCATTTAGCAACAAAGTGAAAAGTTTTAGCTTGTGCATTTAAGACTTCATTTGATAATAAAGTGATTATAGTTGTTTCATATTTTTCCTTTAGTCCTCATATTCTTATATTTACGTGTTTGACGTTTTGATGTCATACTGTTATTGTCTTTTATTCGAGCATCAATTGTTTTATAAAATAAATTTGTGTCTGGGCAGAAACGTAAAAGGTCTGCGAAAAAGGCTCCCAATAAAGTCGTGCCTAGTCGCAAACCCACAGTTTCTGTTGGGAATACAGTGCCACAATCACCTTCCGTCAATATCACAGATACAACGGAAACTGATTGTGTCCAGACATATGCTAGTGTTGCGTCACATTCGGCCTCGGAAATCGTTAAGGATGTAAATGAAGTGATTAATCCAAAATCTGTGAGTATAAGTACTGCTAGTCTGGAAAAGACTTCAAAACCTACTCACGGAAATCGGGAATCATCAGTTCAATCATCTAATGCGTCTTCCGTAGCTGGCACTAGCAATTTCCTCCAACCTGGTCAAAGACCATTATCTATGGCTCCCACCATGAAAATGGTATTTATATCTAGATTTGCACCAGATACCTCGGCTGAGGATATAAATTATTATATAAAATCAAAAATCGATGGAAATTTCTTTCTACGTTGTTATAAGCTCCGGTCTGCTTTCTCAGAAAGTAGATCATCTTTTAAAATCGTAGTACAAGAAAGTATGTTTCATCGACTAATTTCGAGAGAATTTTGGCCTGCTAATGCATTTGTAAAGGAATTTCTGGAAATATCTGAAAACTTAGCTCATTTGCCTCAGAGGGCTGAAATATTGCCAAAAAACTAAATATGTTTCTCAATGTTTGCTATCAGAATGTAAGAGGGTTAAACACAAAATTAACTCGATTATTCTCTGATAGCCTTGGGTTTAATTATGATGTTATAGTATTTTCTGAAACTTGGTTAAAAGCATCCGTGTTAAATAGTGAAATTTTGTGTTCTAGATATCAAATATTTAGAAAAGATAAAGTTTTTAAAAAAGGTGGTGGCGTCCTTATTGCATTTGATGCCAAATATTCCACTAATTTAATTGAATTAAACTGTTTTGATATCGAATTTATTTGCATATCCATTGAATTAGAAAATTTTAAATTATTTGTGACTTGCTCATACATTCCTCCCTCATCGCAACTTGATATTTATAATCAGCATCTGTTAGCAATAAATTCAATCACTAACAAAATGAATGACTCTGACAAAATATTAGTTATCGGCGATTTTAATCTGCTGTCCGTAAAGTGGCTTTCATTGGCAGATTCGGAGGCTCTAACACCCTTGACATCTGATGCAAATGTAAACTTATATACCTTTAAAATTGTAAATCGTTTTAGCGACATAAATCTTTATCAAATAAATAGCGTATCAAATTGTTATGATCGAATTCTAGATCTAGCATTTGTGAATTATACACAATATTTCCGAAAGCTAAACCCACTTATCTCAACCGTAAATTTTATGATATCCTAAATAAATTTATTCTAGAATGTGTTCCCATTGTTAGAGTTAGAAACTCGGAACGATATCCATGGGTCACATCTGGGCTTTCAAGTATTAAAAATTATAAAAATAAACTTTTTAAAAAATATAAAAAATCAGGCTCCTCTATAGATTATGCTAAATATGCTGTCGCATGGTCTAATTATACGTCAGAGTCCCGAAAACTTTACAATCTTTATTTAAACAAGATTAAACTTAATTTCAAATCCAATCCTAAATCTTTTTATGACTTTGTTAATATAAAAAGAAAAGCTACGTCAAAGCCCACCATCTTGAAATTCAATAATCAGACATTTGAGACAAACTCTGAAATTTCCGAGTGCTTTGCAAATTTTTTCGCTACAACATATTCATATTCACCCTGTCCAAATAAAGATACATATAGTTATAAATTATCGACGATAGATCAAATATCTATGCCTTTTTTACAAAGTCAATATGTTTCTAAAAATCTACGTAATTTAAGATCAATTAAAAGTCCAGGTCCGGATGGCATTCCTAGCATAATTCTAAAGTACTGTTCAGATACATTAGCTATCCCTTTAACGCTATTGTTTAATTATTCCCTGAAATATGGTAATTTTCCAACCTTCTGGAAGAAATCCTATATAGTTCCTTTACACAAATCTGGTAGCTTAACTAATGTCTCGAATTATAGAGGAATTGCTAAATTGAGTGCAATTCCAAAATTATTCGAAAAACTGATTACTGATGTAATTTCTCATAAAGTTCAGCCAATCTTAAGTCCATATCAACATGGTTTTCGTAGTGGCGTCTCAACAATTACAATCTTATTCAATTTTCCTCAACCGTCATAAAAGGTTTTATTCAGCGTAATCAAACCGACACGATTTACACTGACTTCGGTAAAGCTTTTGACAGGGTTAACCATGAACTTTTAATATATAAATTAAATCAAATTGGTTTCAGTATAAATTTAGTTAAATGGATATCATCTTATTTGAGAAATAGATCACAGGTAGTTTTGTTTGATGATTGTCTCTCCAAATCCATTAATGTTCCTTCCGGTGTTCCCCAAGGAAGTCATTTAGGTCCACTCCTCTTTCTTCTATTTATAAATGATTTACCAAATGCAATAATACTCCAAATTGCTAATGTATGTTGTTTATCACCCATAACTCTATGAAGCAAGCTGATTTACTTCAAAATGATTTAAATAACCTGTTTCAATGGTGCGAATTAAACTGTATGGATTTAAACCTAAACAAATGTTTTTAAGATCTTCTACTTTAACAAGGCAATACAATATTAATGGTACTGTTTTATCAACTGTAGATTCATTTGTTGATCTTGGTATTTGAATGGATCCAAAATTAAATTTTAATAAT